CTAATCAGTTCCCACACTTGTAGATGAGGACACTAACAGCTATCCTAGAGGACAGCTGTGGAGGATTAAATGAGATAATGAAAAGGAATGTTCTCAGCACAATGCCTGTCATAGAGCAGGCCCTGAGGGCAGTGACTCTTACTATTCTCTGAAAATGGAATAGGCTGGCTCCCTAGGAGAAGGGTCAAATAAACGCTGAACAGTCCAGTCCCGTCTGGGAAACTGTGCAGAGGGCTCTTTTGCATTGGCTCAAGGATCCCTAAGAGCCTTTCTAGATGCCACATTCCACGAAGATGACTTATTTGTGTTCTGGCCTGTTTTTGATTTTGAGCCTAAGCATAGCGATCCCAAGGAGAAATCCAGACATGGCAAGTAATTTGTTAGTCCCACTCTAACAAATTACAAATGTCCCTTGGCCTGGAATCTACAATCTGGCCCAAAATGTATTATTCAGAAAACTGCCCACCTGTATCTGAAGCAGTGATTCCAGGAGTGTATCAGTAGTTCCTTTTCCTCCTGAGTGCCCTTTGGTTGACAACACCTTTTCAACCTATTTGGCTTGTGTGGCAAGCAGGAATCACTGTCCCCATTTTAAAGAAAAGGAAACTGAGGCTCAGAGAGAGTCAAATCCTGCTCGAGATCATGTGGATAATGAGCAGCAGAGCTCTTTCCAATTAGAAAGGGCTTCATCAGCAAGGAATTGAGAAATGAGTAAATATGAGGGAGTTTTAAAAATCATCAAATCGGCATAACTACTTCTCACTCACTTTAATTCTGGAAGATTTCTGACACTAGTCGCTATATCTGACGCTTCTGGACAAAGTTTCTCCACCAGCTCCAAAGGACCGAAGAAAGATTTATTTTGGCCAATAAAACTCTTCTTAACTAAAAGGAAAAACAAAAGTGTTATTCATAAGAACGGGTGCAAAATTTCTTCAGGGACCCACAGCCTCTCCCCCAAAAGCCAAGTGAAAGTGAAAGCTGCTAAACTTCACTGCTTAATCCCCCCCTTTTTTTTTTTGAGATGGAGTCTTGCTCTATCGCCCAGGCTAGAGTGCAGTGGGCGATCCCAGCTCACTACAGCCTCTGCCTCCCGGGTTCAAGCAATTCTCTGCCTCAGCCTCCTGAGTAGCTGGGATTACAGGTGCCCACCACAACACCAGGCTAATTTTTGTATTTTTAGTAGAGACGGGGTTTCACCATGTTGGCCAGGCTGGTCTCCATCTCCTGACCTCGTGATCCGCC